AAATTATATAATGTAAGTCTATGGGAAAACAAGATTTGACTTAGGGACATTTTGACTTGGGGACACTCTTGATGCACCAATTACTGACATGTTGGGGTCTCACTGTATCTGGAATTTTCAAGTTGTAGTCATGAAAAAAAAGAAACAGCGACTGAAGGTGCTGATCAAGGAAGTAGAATCTCTGCACATTGAATTTTGTTACCGCATATAATGAATAAGTGATTACGGCAAAGTTGTTTTTCCAGGTCTTTGCCAAAATATACATTTCAATCTGTGGAAGAAAGCAGAGTTGAAGAAGATTAATGAAGTAGAATCTCATCTGCACGACGAATTTTGATGCAGGATGATGAATAATTGATCACCACAAAGTTTTTTCATAGGTCCGTGCCAAAAAAAAATACACTTCAATTTATAAGACATACGGAGATGAAGGTGATGAATAAAGTATAAATTTCTGCACAACAAATCTTGTTACAGTATAATGAATAATCGATTGCAACAAAGTTTTTTTTTTAATCCTTGGAAAAGCTATGGATTAAAACAGAGTTGAAGGTGAGCAATGAAGTAGAATCACTCGTCCACAACAAATTTTGATACAGCATAATGAATGATTAACTACGAAGAAACCAAAAAATGTATCCAAGCTATGTAAAAACGGAGTTGAAGGTGATGAAGAAAGTATACATTTCTGCACAACAAATTTTGTTACAGTATAACTGATTTAATTGATTGCAACAAAGTTGTTTAAGGCCCTCGCCAAAGGGGAGTCACGATATTGAATGAGTTGCTTTATCACGAATTGTAAATACAACAAAGCTGTTTCATTGGTCGTAATAGCTTTGCTGTGACTAGATTTTTCTGCATTTGCTGAGAGAGGCAGAGAAAGTTTTTAAATTTTCTGCACAATATGCCGCATTGAAAAATAAATATATTTTTAAACATTTTGTTTTGAGGAAAAATAAACGTAAATTGTCGCAAACAATAGCTGATCAACATTTTCATAATATCATACAAGGATATTGTATTCTACTTTGAATTCAAAAGTTGGTTCTTATCTTTAACTGAGGACATTCAGCTTTTTTATTTTTACATGAATTTCTCATACATTTCTCTTCTCTTACCCAAGGACTCCAAAGATTACCGACGCTTATAATCGCCAATCCACAATTAGAGTTTTTCAGCCTGAAAGGCATTCAGTTCGTATCTGTTTGGGAACCAGAACTCCGGCCCAGGGAGGTCAGGTCCCAGGAACTGAATTCTGGTCCCGTTTTCCTTCGTGCATCCGGGGAAGGGATGCAGACTTCTTCCATGCACATTTCTTTAGCCAATCACAGGCAAGGGAAAAAGTCCAGTGCTTTGGTCAGGTCAGCTGACAGAAGCAATGGGCTAAACCCTATAAAAACCCAGCACTCTCCCACTCCCAATAATCAGTCCCTAAAATTAGCTCATACAGTTAACTTCCCTCAAAATATTCGAACCCCAATTCTTCTGCTTGAATTCTTGCATTGCATTATCCCACCCTAAATTTGTGTGCACAAATTTATTGTTTTTATTGAATGTGTGTTGCATCATTGCATTCATTGTGATGCAGCATTTTTTGTATTGTGTTTGATTGTGATTTATTGTGGACTGTGATTAAACCAGACAAAACTAGGGATATGTAATTAAGGTATCCCCTTAATTACATATCCCTGGCCGCAAACCAGCTGATTGTCCTGCCTTATTATTTCCCACCTTTTCTTCCACTGCGCTATGGTTCAATTCTTTATGTTGGGTTGATTAATTCCTCAACAATATCCCTGCTGATGCTGGTAAAAAAAAAATCTGCACCTTAAAATCCATTCAGAAATTCATTTTTGGTGATTTTCTGTTTTTCCCCCTGCTGGTTACCCATATAAGCAATTCATCAATTTTTCAGGCTCTGAGGCAAAGTCAGCAAAATCCCGAAGAAATATTTAAGAGAGTATTGAAAATATATTTTAAAAAGTATAAATTTTCCTCATTCAGTAATGATCAGCATGTGGGAGGATGAACACCGATTTTTGGGTTGATGATAATGCTTTTTAAATGGATATCAGAAAACCCCACAGACACCAGAGTGGCACCCCTGCAGCTAAACGTGGCACTTTGCATACACCATTCAAATAATGGTCTTCATTGTGAAGATACGACAGGTACTATTTATTCACGAGAGTCTACAGGGATGGATTAAGGCAAGGACACTATACATTATCCTGAAGATCGCCTGAGATCCTCATCATATACAAATGGCACTCTGATGCCAATTTGGTGATTATTCTTGTGAGAGAAAAAAAAACTACAATATCTAAAAAGTTTGATACAGATCGGATAAATATTCTTGTGGTGCTTTGAACCTCTTGTGCGGTCCTTTCGTCACGTAAATTGGCAATCATAAAAAAAAACGTTTTAATAACTCTAAATGACAGCATGCTCTGCTTCATCCATCAGGGTTCGGAATTTTTTTTTTAAACAGGCAAAGAATTCAAGTACAAAGAATATCACTATCCAATTTTGCTTAAAGTCTTGCATCAAGAACAGCGGAAAATTGCCCGAATTCCGCCAGGCCACGAATTTCATCAAGCCTAAAGGTCACGTACTTCTGCCCTGATTTCGGCAATTTTGGTTCCATCAGCTGACGATATAGGGAAATCAACGAAATTTAATGACGGTACCGTAGCGAATGAGTACCATGGAGAAACTTGAATGGACACACTTTCAACGCAGGAAAAATTAGGACTAATTTTTCATAAACAATTTATATGGAAAACAAATGTTTCAAAGATAAGAAAAAAAATCAATCATTTTCATGATTTTTCAAAAAGTAGATAAGATGTCTTTGCATTGCGGAGTATGAAAAAATATTAGTTTCATGCATTGTTTTAAAGCACACACCTGGAATAGATAAGGTTTCAGAAAACATTTCTGGTTTTGTCCGAATAAATTAAAAACTGCGATTTAAACTCTCTCGACCTGTTGGAGTGATTCTTAGCTTTTCATGACAAGCATCTACATGGAAACAGGGGAAAAGGACTAAAAATTATTGCCAGACAAAGCTCTAAAAATAACCCCTTAAAGTCTTACTTCAAGAGGTTTGACTGTAGTTGTAAAAAAATAAAATTTATAAGCCCTCCCAAATGCCCCAATTATTTGCTGGGCAAAGCATCGCTCTAAAAAGCAAGCGCAATTAAATCTGAGATAACCTTTTGCACGAATGTTACCATTGTTTTCAGCACCCAAATCTGCGCAAGTTTAATTTTCCCTTGTGATGTTCCTATACTTTTTCAGAAGACTCTCTGATGAAGCAGTGGGTACAGCCATCTGTTCAGGGGTACTCACTCTGGTATGCGTGAATGGGGTACCAGAGAATAAACGACTGCTCGGAAGTGTGTTCCGAACAACTACTGATCTTTTCATGGCCTTGTATTCACTCAAGTGCCCTGGGAAAACCGTCGCCTGCTTGAACCTCAAGAACTTCTCGGTTACCCAACACCACCAGCAAACCGGAGTCCTCCCTGGCGACTGCATTTTTCATCTTCAGGTAAACAACATTTACGGATTTTTATTTCGACCAGATATTCACCATGTACAGGGGCACCAATTGATTTTCCATGACGACCAGGAAACAATAAAATGACTGTGCAGTTGAACCGCAATAACTCAAACCTCCCTATATACGGTATTTACTTGAGTACCACGCGCCCTTGAGTAAGGCGCGCAGAAGGGTTTTTGAGTTGGAAATTTTGCTAAAATCTTATCCCCAAGTAAGACTTGCACCACAATTTTCAGTGAATCTGAAGCTACAAAATTTTGCAAATAAAAATGAAAAAAAGACTTTAGGCATGAATTGAACAAAAATCTCATCAATTTCCAACTTTTTCAGTAAAAAATGTTTTCTCGTTACATTTGCTCAAAATATCTACATTATAATCAAGTATAATGCACACATAACTTCCTAATACTTCTTGAAATTTTTGTACCCACTTATGACAAGCACCCCTTTTTTTCTTCTGAAATTTGGGAAAAAAGGTGCGCGTGGTACTCGAGTAAATATGGTAAGTCAAATTTTGCAAAGTCCTTGTCTGAGTTACCTGAGGAACAATGCATCAAAACCTCCCTAACTCAACGGATTCTCATCTCAAATCTCAGGAAGTTCAATTTTTTGAGGTAGCTTTTGGCAATTATTCTCTTGACACTGGAAAGAGAAAGCAAAAATAAAAAGCAATGTGATGCATTTTGAAAGAAAGTGTAATACTCAATAGGGCAAATGAACCCCTGCCTAAAAGTTCAGCCTCTTATTAACTCATTTAAGGGCATTAAGGCCCAGATTTCATCCAATTATTTAACGTTTTCCACAACAAAACTGCTTGGTTCTGTACCTCAACCCCCCCCCCCCTGTAAGTTGATTTTTTTTGCTGGCCCCTTGAAATTCAACTCAGAAAGGTTCCACTAGAATCAATTACTGTGAGAGAATTTTCAATGAGGGAAGCGTATTCAGCAAAGTGTTTTTCAAAAATGAGACGGTTCTCAGAAGTACAGTTCTCAAAATCAAGTCACTTAATAGAAGCGTATGTTTTGAAACACACGAAGCTTGGATATCCATTATACCATCACCCGTAAGTTCGGGAAATTTGATTTATGCGAACGAATCCTCGTTCAATTCGTCCAATATGAGCACTTCCGGAGCAATTCAATTTGTGAATCAGTCAAGTATGGCAGTAAATATTGCTAAAGGTGAATTCAATTTATTTTGCCAGGAAGACCAAGGTACAGAATAGTATTTCATTACACGAAAAAAAAGATGAATTGAAGAAAAATCCACCCAGAGGAACTAATCCCGGCGCTTTCAGCTGTTGCCAAAATTAATTTGCATTTTTGAATCGAAATGAAGGGTAGAGGAATGTTGCTTATTTTCTTTTTTAAAAATACAAAATATGGAGAGTATTGATGGAGCTGTTTTGGCGGTGGATTCAGTTCCACAAAAAAAGAAATGAATGTGTAACAATTTCAGAAAATTACGCTTTGAATATCATGCCGAAAAATCCAAGGAATTTCGATTTCTTGGAAATTCATTGCAGCTTCTTACATTTCATCTAGGATTGAGGGATCCATACCCCATTAAAGATCGTCTATTTTTTTCATTCAAAAGCAAACCCAGTCCACAAAAAACCCCCCAACATCTGACAAAATTATGTCACTGTTTCCCGAAAAATTCGTTAATTTTCTAAATTGCAGAACAATTTTTCTTCTGTTTTTTGTCCAAATTCAGGAGCGAGGCGTGGACGCGGCATTGTCATTCACGTTTCGGTGCAGCTCCGAGGACGAGGCCCAGCGTTGGGTTCGCTCTGCCGGGTACGTGACTCCCGCACCCAGGCGGGCATCCCTGTGCCAGGTGTCCCTGCCCAGTGTGGAGGAAGCCCCCGAGTTTCTGCAACCCGTGTCAGCTTCGCATCATTTTCTGCACGGATCTGCCGCTGCTGTTGCAGCAGCTGCTCGTGGGGGCGATTAAGATAATTTCGTATTGTTTTTTTTCCCTTTACTGTGGTAGGAATTAAGGTTGTTATTGTTTTTTTTTCAATGGAACCAAAAACAAAAAAGAGAAGAAAAGAGAGGAAACAAGCGTTGCGAAGGATTACAGCTTTTGCTAGTTAAGAAATCCCAATCGTACTTTCCAGTTGTTTTTTTTTTCAAGTGATACCCAGCATTATTTTGTTCCAACAGAAATTCTTGGCACAAACTTTGGTCATTTATGGCAAGTTAGCGAAAAAATGTAATGCATTCCTTCATCAGAGGACGTATCGACAATGAAGAGTATCCAGACTTTGACAATGTAGGTATAGTGTTACAACGGTATTTTCAAAGATTTTCGAACTGATGCTTTGAAGAAAAGCCCGAAATCCAGGTTTAAAAATTCCTTCTTCATCATCACAAGTTTTGGCGTTGGCACCTTTTTTCAAATTCGTAAATTCAAACCTGATAGAATCATTTTCTTTTAAATCTTGCTTGTTCTAAAGTTTCAACTAGACATTTATGGGAAACTATGTCGCCTGAAAATGTATATCAAAGTAACTTATTCGGATATTATTAGTCTGAGGCGATTTTTTAAAACCTTTTTGTTTTGATTTTGTCGAGCATTTTTATCTGGCATTTGCCAAAAATGGATTCAACATGCAAGATGAAATCGAAACTCAAACTGTTTAAATTTGCTGTATAGTGGACGCAAATTTGATTTGCAGCATGTGGATTATTTAAAAATGTTCTGGTGAATATTTTAAGGAAAGGATTTTAACTTTTAGAAACTCTTTGTAGTTTTGGGTCGTGAGTTTTTGGGCCAGTCAGAGAACTTTCGAAAATGCCAACGTCCATTAGTTTGTGCAAGGACACCTTTCTTGATGTGATTTAAGCCCCCGATACAATTCTCCATTTTCGGCTATAGTGTCCTCTTGCAAATTTTCGAAACAAAACTTGGAAAAACAGAGATGGGAAAAAAGAGAGAGATTGAGACCATTGTGCGGAAGATTTCCTACGTGGAAAAAAAAAAACATTTACTGAAGTACCTCGCAAGTATATGCCACTTTACTCTTGGATGTGATGGAAGAAACAACGATACTATTTTAAATTCATTTTGGAAGAAATTCCATCCGACACACAGAGAACATAATTTTGAGTGTGAGAAATAGTGGATCAAAACTGGGGCTTGAGTGTTTACGCAACGTTTTGAGGAAAGTTTTTATGCGACAACGATGTAAAATAACTTCGTCGATAACTGCATGAATTTTTCGTGGATGAAGAAGAATTAATGATTTTAAGAAAGCAAAACAATTTTCCCGCATATCAATATACAGTATTCTGTTCTATCCTTTTCCCCCCGATTTTTTTTTGTTGAAAATTGGAAAGTAAAAAGTGCCAAAGTTTTTATCGGTAGACGAAGTTGTGGATCGCTCCTAGTCTTTTGTCATGCTTTAAAGAAAAATATTTGTCTCCGGAAAGCTACTCGCGAATTTTTTTTAATTTTCCAGAAAATCTTGCATTCCGTGATCAAGCAGAATCCTAAAAATGTTGCACCTGTCGCGAAGTTTTTGTTTGCATATAGGGTTCTTTTCCACCCGAAGAACGGTGTTTGAAGGCATGTACGAGTTATGTGATTTCTAGTCATCGCTCTGAAATTTTGGTTTATCGTTATAATTTCAAATTTGTTTTGTTGTGTTGATGTTTTATTTTAGAGAGTAAATGAACAATGAATAAATGCCAGACCCTCGGCTTCTGTAGGAGGAATATATTCGCAATAGTTTTTGCGCTGTTTCCACCTCGCAATAATATGGAGTACGAGTCGAAATGCAGATGAAGGAAACGGTTCTTTTTTTCATTTTTTCAAGCCGACAAAAAGGTTTGAATCCACATGGGAGAATAAATATGGTAATTCAATCAAGAGTGGCAGACAAGGTCACCATTGTGGCTGAAAAAGAGGCCACCATGGCATAATGTTGCAGCCAGGTCAACTCACACTGTCACAGACATCAATCACCTCTTGGTGCGTGCAAAAAAAAATTTGGCATCCTTGCCCCAGTGCTGAGTGACACATGATGCATTTATAAGAAAAATAAATAAAATGCACCAGCTGACAGCAAACAGTAATGGAACTGGTCACCACAATTTACAGTCCAAAAGAGAGTCTGATGGGACATTTTTGACTATACTGTATCTCATCCCAATTCTTAAAAAAAAAAAGAAGTGCTGTATAAGAATGTTTTTGTCCTGGCAGTACTCATTATAACATTATGCACAGTATTGTACTCAGTTTTTGTTGAGTACAGAGTTTCACTTGTATTACAGCATTTTTGTTGAATGTCGGTTCAGTATTTTATCCCTGGGTCCTGTTATTTGCTTCTGTGAATAAATTGCTTATTGTGCCTGCTAAAGAGGACTCAGCCAATCAGGGGCTGGTTCTTTAATATCATTTTTTCCTGTAAATGTATCATTTACATATGACCCTTGATTTCAACCCTGAAGTACAGTCAACCCCCATCTAATGGACTTGATGTGTGCAACAGACAAGTCTGTTAGACAAAACGTCCTTTAGACAAATTCAATTATATAAAAATTATAACTTTTGATTGTAAATACTAATTTTAAACCAACAGAAGTCTGTTTGCCAGATTTTTTCAATTGAGCAGGAGGAAAAACTGCTTTCAGAGCTGGTCTCTTGGGCAAAAATCCCTTATGCAAGAGGTCTGTTAGGCGGGGGGCACTGTAATTGTCTGGTCAAGCCTCTGCCATATGATGCTCAACTTTCACTGTTGTTGAGAATGTATAAACAACCCAGGGTGAGAAAAGGCTGTGGACTAGCAAAGTTTCATAAAATTTTTGCAGATTCAAAAAAGTTTTGCTTGGAAGACTTTTGGTGCTGGGTATTTAAAATTTTTTTCGCTTTTTTGCAACAGTTAAGTTATGAACCAACAAAGCAGCTATATTGGAATGTCTTCAAATATTTAAAAATGTGGGCTTGAAGATTGATTTCTCAAAATAAAAAAATAAATAAACAATATATTTCAAAAGACAACAATATTTTTTGAGTTTTATTCAGAGAAAATCCAACTTTCCTTTTTTTCAGATAATCCCAACTGTCATATTGTCTTACCACTGTGGTTGAGGCTGGATCATCTACTCAGAATGAAGGCAACTATCACTATTACGCACATGGTGGAATTTTCGGAAATGTGCCAAATGCCAACGAAATGCTTTTAATGATGAATGGACGAGGGCGGACCTACTTTTTTTCAATGACTGAATTTACCGAGTGAGGAATCAGCTGCACAGAATGAAGAACCATTCAAACTCTCGAAAAATTAAAAGTACAACATACGTAAAACCCGATGCAAATAAAAACAGGCCTTCTTCTTGGTCTTCACGTGTATATATTCGTTTATGCAAAAATCGACAAGCCATTAGCTAACATCAATCACGCAATTCTGAAGAAACAATCACTTTCTTACAAACTTATTTATTTCATGCATACATTTTGCGCGGTAAACTCTTTGGCATTATTGCGTGCATGGTTCTATAATTTATAGAAGCCTTTTTTTTTTTTTTAGAAATTTCCAAGTTGTTCTCTCACAAACGCAAACTCTGTCTAATTTAGTGGAAAAGGTTCCACTGAAAGGTGCCTAAGGTTCCATTTTCATTCTGCCACGATGCGTCAGAATGCTTGCTGATCGATCGAATTGAAAGCTTGCAGAATCAATCGTTGGCTGATTATTATTAACATATATTACGTCAAACTGGTGACAATGCTCATTTCGCCATTTGAACGAAAGTGTGGTTCATCAATGCAATCACGCAGTAATTTTATATAAGCAGAGAAAATTAATTCTGGGTTTCTTTGATCGAAGGGAACTACGTATCAAGAGGTTGATTGCCGAATAAAATTAGTTATAGAGCCCAGTGTTTCCCAACGTTTCTGGGCTGACAAACCAACAAATTTCCATAAATTTTTTGGGGACCAGGAAATTAAAACAAAAGTTTTGTGGACTGGCAAAGTTTCATAACATTTGTGCAGAGTCGAAAAACTTTTGCTTTAAAGATGGCAGGTATTTAAAAAGTGTTTGCATTTTTGCAAAAATCAAGTGGAATGTCTTCAAAAATTGAAATGGTGGACTGAAAACTAAAACGAATGGTTTCTCAGAATTAAAAATTAAAAACAATTTATTTCAACAAGCAAAAATTCTTCCAGGGTTTTTCATTTTTCATCAGGTAATCTCGAATGCATTGACTTCCCGAAATTTCTGGTAAAGATAACAGACTTCATTGCTACTTTTGGTGAATATTTTATGCGCTGAAGAAAATTTCCTGCGGACTTGCAAAAAGACTTCTGCTGCGGACCACAGGTTTTGCGGAACATTGAGTTAACCCATAAGTTATAAAGGAAAACTCAACAACATCCACTTCCTTCTTCACGATCGACACTTTTCCTGATGGGGCCATCGATTCACTCCTTCACAATAAGGCCTGAGAGACAAGCACGAAAGGAACTCCACCAAACAACAAATAAAAATCTACGATTTGGAAAATCCAGTATATACTCGAGTAAATCACGCCGGAATTTAGAACCAATTCCCTATTTTTTTTTAAATACACAGTATTCAGGGTCAAACTGCGATCCGAGCTTTGATTGCGGATCCGAAAGCACATCCCGATGCCACTCCAAGGATTTCAATGAAAAGCAGTGCCAAAGCAAAGCCTCCAATGGTGCCCAGGTTGTCGTAGAACAGGTCCGTGATTTTCGATAAACAGCCTGTTCTGTGTACAGAAGTT